GGAATGTGGGCGCCACTGGGAGGGAACTGACAGTCCCCTGGCTGCCCAGAGCCCTGCTGAGGCCACTCTAGGACAGACCCAGGAACAATGAAATTCACAGCTGAGTGTTTAGGTCATGATTTCGTCCCCGAGTTCCCACTGTTCCAGCCAAGGTATCAAACACTGCCGTCACCCAGAAGGTTCTCTCATGCCCCTTCCCATCATCCCACTCCTCAGGGGTTTCACTGTTCTGACTCCTTTTTTCTCTTGCCCGTGCTGGGGCTGGAACCCAGGGCTAGGCAAGCGCTCTACCGCTGAGCCACACTGTCCTTGTTCTATCTCCATAGCTTGCTTTGCCCACCCAAGAATTTGATGTAGGTGGGAGCAGATACTAGCGCTCCTCTCGCTCACAGGATGCACTTGGGGCCATCCTCAGTGTGGCGTGTTTCACTAGTTTGTTCCTTTCTGTCGCTCAGTAGTGCTGGGGGCGGGGTGGCTGGGCCTCGTTTTGCTTATCCACCCTCCTGGTGATGGGCATCTGGACTGGCTCCTGGATGGGGGTTATGGCTGGAGCCGCTGTGAACATTTACTAAATCACAGGCATTTGGGGCTGCAAGTTCAAGTAATGAACTCATTGCTCAGAGGGGAAGACTGAGGCCAGAGAAGGGAGGTGACTTGCTGGATCAGGGCCAGCAGGCAGGACTTCTGACTCCCCAGACCCAGCGCCTGTCCTCTTCCCCACCAAGCTCTCCCAGCGGGACCTGGAGTCTGGCTGGGAACTAGGCCAGGCCGTGAGCAGGGGGTAGCGAGCCGGAGTTTCGGTCAGAGCTCGGTCATCTTTGATGTTGTTCACTCGGGTCTGACTCCCTGGTATTTATTTGCAATTAGAGAGCTGGTTCCTAATTAGGCTGATGGCTGTGGGAGATGGCGGGACCATCGCCTCAGAGCCACAGAGAAAAGGATCCTTCTGCAAGAGGCTGTCCCCTTGTGTCCTGAGTAGCAGCCCAGACAGACTATGGGCAAAAGACTTGGTGTATCTGTGGGGGAGGTGCTGGGGATGGGGGACACAGGAGTCCCTGCCTCTCACGTGCAACACGGCCGGGCGGTTGTCGGCTCACTTGTCCAGGCTGCACAGCTGGCCGGTGGTGACAGCCTAAGGTCTGTCTCAGTCTGAAACCTTTTGGCTCATGTGAGCAGGGTTAGAGGAGAACTCTAGAATCCGAAGTTCTGGTCCCTGCCCCCCCTTGCCATGTGTCATCAGGCAAGCCACTCTATACCCTCTCGGGACACGAGGTCACTGGACTCCATTAGCGTTTCCCACAGACCAGCCTCAAAACTCAGTTTTCCTTGGTTCATGACAAAGAAAATTAAAATGAGGTAGAAAATAAGTCCACACAGGACAAAATGAAGCAGTGATAACCCTGTCATTTCAAACTCCCTGTTAAAATAGGGATTCAAGGGCTGGGGCTGGGGCTGAGCGGTAGAGCGCTCGCCTAGCTCATGTGAGGCCCTGGGTTCGATCCTCAGCACCACATAAAAATAAATAAAATAAAGGTATTGTGTCCAACTACAACTAAAAAATAAATAAAGTAGGATTCGTTTGTGGGGGCCCTAAGTGTTAGGACCCCCTAGATGAGACCATGTCAGGGACCCTCAAGCTCTGCAGTGGTACACACCTTCCAGGACCTAGACCATGAGAGCAGTCATGGTCACCGGTGGGGAAACTGAGGCTTAGAGAAGAGGAGGGACTTGCTCCGTGCACAGGCTGTAGGGTAGAGCCCACCCCAAAGGCTTTGCCTGGCACCCGGAGAAGGGCTCCTTCTCAGTATCCGACAGAGACCCAAGTCCTTGCCTAACACCTTCCACTGTCCCGGGCTTCCTGTGGGGTGGGGACAGTGTGCAGAGTGTACTTTGTGTCACCCCTCCATCTGTGTCAGCGGGTTCCCAGAGCACCCTTCCGGACAGATGCAGCCCCGAGGCAGACAGAGAAGACGGAGACCCCGCCTTTCCTACTTGGAGAGTGTGGGGGTCGCTGACCAGCAGCATGGTCACCTCTCAGGCCTGGGGAGGGGCTGAAGTTTAGATGCCCAGGAGGGAGAGGTCACAGCAGTCTTACCAGAGGTGACAGTCTGCCTCCAAGAATTTGGGAGCCTTGGCCAGGAGCCCAGTCCAATAAGGTGCCACCAGTCTGCTCAACCCAGGCCCCAGGTACCCGGGAGCCAGAAAGCTGGTCAGGCTGGACCCTCGGGTGGCCTAGTTATTCCTGTGAGGGGTGGGAGACCCAGAGGGGTGTTTGGCTGACTGGGGTGAGGGGAACTGAGAGGAGGGGGCCTTGAATTGAAAAGCTTTTTGGGAACTGAGAAGACAAAGTGCCCACCCTCCCAGGCCTGTGACACCCCTTCACAGGCTGCTGTCTGACTCTGAACTGTCTGGGCAGAACTGGTGCGTTATGGTGGGTGGCCCTTGCAGAGCCTTCCTGAGAAGGAAAGGTAGAAGGAAGTAGTCAGGCCTCACTCCATGAGACGGTGGCGGAGTCCTGGGGAGGTAGGGGTGGTACACACCTCCAGGACCCAGACCGTGAGAGCAGTCGTGGTCACCGGTGGGGAAACTGAGGCTTACAGAAGAGAAGGGACTTGCTCCGTGCACAGGCTCCATGCACAAAACCTGCCTGGCGCCTGGACAAGGGCTCCCCTCCAAGGCTGGCTCCAGCGTTTCCTCCTGTGTTTCCCGGCCCACCTCCTCCCTTGCAAGTGGAGCTATCGTAAAGAAGGCCACAGCTCATAGAAGGTGCTGGGTGATGCCGGTTGCTGGTCCTGTCTCCCAGCATGCTCAGGGCACCTCTTCTTTGCTGCCCCGCCTTGCTGAGTCTGGCACACTCACAGGACTCCTGCGGGTTGGTGAGCAGCACTGGGGTTCAGGGCCAGGCTGACCTGCTACTGCTTTCTTGGCCCTTGTGCCAGAGAGGGCAATGGCTTGGGCATTAGAGCTCAGGATCTGGCTGTTCCTGGCTGCTCACCTGCTGAAGCTGGCCTAGTGTCCACAGCCTGGTCATCTATCAAGGCTTGAGCTGTCTCTGTGCCCCCTAGCTAAGGGGTGGGTCAGTTGAGGGCAAGGAGAAGGACCTTTCCTTTCCCTTCCTCACCATCAGCTGAAACCATGAGGGGCCTCCATGGAGACTCTGAGGCAAAATGATACAAATTTTGGGCCAGCATGGGGACTTGGATTCCCCAGCACACCTGGGGACCTGTGGCTGGCACCTTGGTGCCAAGCAGAGGGCAGCAGGGTGTGTGTGGCAGATGGACATTCCTGGGGTCTGCACCAAGCCCAAGGCCCCAGCAGAGCAGCCAGCCTACAGGAAGCCCCTCAGGCAGACAGTTTCCTGCTAGGTGGCCATGTGGGCCTCCTGGTATGTGAGGATATCAGGGGACCCTGTCACCCTGCTCCTCTGGGGATTTGAGGCAGTGCAGGGATGAAGGAAACAGAGCTGGCCTCATTCAGGCTCCCAAGGGAAGTTATCAGAAGTGTAATCCCTGCTACTAGGAGGCTGAGGCAGGAGGATCACAAGTTTAAGGCCAGCCTCTGCAATTTAACAAGGCCCTGTCTCAATAAAATAAAAAGGGATGAGGAGAGTGCTTGCCTAGCATGCACAAGGCCCTGAGTTTAATCCCTAGTACTATAAGAACAAAAACAGAAGTGTCTCCCTCAGGTTTGGTTGAACTTTGATCAGTTTCCCTTTGAGAAGCTGAGCCATAAAGTGCCCTGCTTTGTTCTTGCCAGGTTTCCAGCTGAATGTCTTCTTCCATACAAGGGCCCCCAGCCAGGGAGCAGGCATGGCAGGTCCTGTCACTTTGCTGGATAGTCATGGGCCATGAGCTCAAGGGAAAGACCAGATGACAGAGGCTTCAGAATCTGAGGGGCTGGCCACAGGTGGTAGTAGTAGGCCTGGGCGTCCCTGCAGGACAGGACAGGCCTGTGTCTGGTTTTCACACGTACAAAGATGCCCCAAGTTGAAGTGGGACAGGGTTTCAGGAGTGTCCAGGCCACCCCTTTGCCATGCAGTGGGGAAATTGAGGCCCAGAGAGGAGCAGCACACACCTCAGAGCTGAAAAGCTCTTGAGCCCTTGAGGAGTAGCTTTCTTTAGCACTTAGGGACCCTCCACGTCTGCTGTAGTTCTGGTGAAAACCTCCGTCTCTTGCCAAGAAAATCAGCTCAGGTGGAGTAGGCAGTGGAGGAACTGGGAGGATGAGATCAAGGCTGGGAATGTCACTGCAACCTCGTCACTCTTCCTAGTTTTTGGAAATGATATCTCACTATGTTGCCCAGGCTGGTCTGGAACTCCTGGATTCAGGTGATCCTCCTGCCTCAGTCCCCATGTGCTAGGACTTCCAGGCACCCTTATTATTATAACAAGGCCAGCACAGCATTCCACGCTGCAGGCTGAAAAGGTTCTCCACCCTGCCTTCTATGCTGAAGTCCCTTCAGGTGATCTCCACCCCCAAGAGTTTACCCCTACTCTATTCCCATGGCGGCCTGGATGAAGGGGTTCAAATCCTGGCCAAGCCTCACTAGTTGTGAGACCCTTGGGCAGGCTGTGGGTGCCATTTTCTGCAGACCAGGTGTCCTCACAGAGTCCAGAGTAAGAGGCATGGTGCACACACCTGGCAGGTGGAGGGTGCTCCTTTGAGTATGTGCAGATGTTTGTCTGTCTGTCCTGGTGGTGTGTCAAATGCTTGTGGGCCGGAGAGGGATGTGATTTGGGTTGTGCTGCACCCTGTAGGTTCGCAGCCTGTTTTCTCCTTTGCCTGAGGTTATGTATGTGTGACAGAGGGGAGGGGGGAGGGGGAGAAGACGTCCCCTCACTGTGTGCCAAATGTCCCACGCCATGGCACACAGTAGGCGCTCACACAACTGCTGAACCCCTGAAACTTTACCTAGCCCCCTACTGTCCAGACACACCCCTGGTAACCCCCTGGTTACCACACCCCCCAGTAACCCCCCATGCCCTGTGCTTGTCCAGCAGACGCCAGCATGTCTCCAGACGCCACCAAGCCGAGCCACTGGTGCAGCGTGGCGTACTGGGAGCACCGGACGCGTGTGGGCCGCCTCTACGCGGTGTACGACCAGGCCGTCAGCATCTTCTACGACCTACCTCAGGGCAGCGGCTTCTGCCTGGGCCAGCTCAACCTGGAGCAGCGCAGCGAGTCGGTGCGGCGCACGCGCAGCAAGATCGGCTTCGGGATCCTGCTCAGCAAGGAGCCCGACGGCGTGTGGGCCTACAACCGCGGCGAGCACCCCATCTTCGTCAACTCCCCGACGCTGGACGCGCCCGGCGCACGCGCCCTGGTGGTGCGCAAGGTGCCGCCCGGCTACTCCATCAAGGTGTTCGACTTCGAGCGCTCGGGGCTGCTGCAGCACGCGGCCGAGCCCGACGCCGCCGACGGCCCCTACGACCCCAACAGCGTGCGCATCAGCTTCGCCAAGGGCTGGGGGCCCTGCTACTCCCGGCAGTTCATCACCTCCTGTCCCTGCTGGCTGGAGATCCTGCTCAACAACCACAGATAGCAGCGGCCCCGCCAGGGGCGCGCAGGAGGCCGGGCGCCACCATCACTCACCTCGGGAGGGGCCGGCGCCCAGAGACGCGGCCCCACGGACGAACCCCCCCAAATATCATCTACCTAGATTTAATATAAAGTTTTATATATTATATGGAAATATATATTATACTTGTAATTATGGAGTCATTTTTACAATGTAATTATTTATGTATGGTGCAATGTGTGTATATGGACAAAACAAGAAAGACGCACTTTGGCTTATAATTCTTTCAATACAGATATATTTTCTTTCTTTTCCTCCTTCCTCTTCTTTATTTTGTTTTTGTGTTGTTTAAGAAAAATGATACAGCAGAACTAGGTGGAAAAGCCTGGGTTTGGTGTATGGCTTTTGAAATATTAATGCCCAGACAAAAAGCTCATAGCAGTCACTCGATAATAAAGTATTCACGTTCTAGTTTTTTTTTTTTTTTTTTCAATTTTAAACTGTCTTGTTTTTACAAAGAGGGACACTCAGGGGTTCTGAGTGGCTTCTGACCCATCAGGCACTCTGAAACGACTTCAGAATTTACTGGATTAAAAGTAGAGGGAATAAATTGAAAAGGGAGGAAGGATAATACTCTTAAGTGAACCAGAGAAGGGTCTGTTCCTTCCTGCCCTTGGCTGTGGTAGATCCCCTGGATAGGGACCCAGGCAGGGAAAGACAGTATAGTGCTGGCTACCCTGTGTGACGGAGGGGGCTCCTGCCTTGGCCTGAAGGAACTCTGAGTCCGATGGGGGAGGCTCAGGTCCGTGCTTCCCATCTCAGAGCTGGGCAGGAACCAGAAGACACTATTTTTCACCACTCTGGGGAAATAGCCAGAGGAAATAAGACCAAGACACATTTACCACCTTGTATAACCACTTTGGAACCCCATGGCAAGGCTCCTCTTGGGGTCTCACAGGCTATCCTATCACCACCACCACCACCACCACCACCACCACAGATGAGCTCAGAATCTGTCCATCCCCAGCTCAGCTGTGTTAATGATTTATGTGGTGGATGGTGTGTTTCATTCAACTTCATAGAAGGGGAATATTGAGGTTCTGGTGGGATGAGTGACTAGCTTATGAGTCAAATGAAGCCTGCAATTTCCATCTAATTGTAGGACCAGAGCCATCTCATTATATCAGTATTTTTTTCTCCAGAACATTCTTTTTTCTTTTTTGGATACCAGAGATTGAACCCTGGGGGTACTTAACCACTGAGCCACGTCCCAGCCCATTTTTTATTTTTTTCCTTTGAGACAGAGTCTCACTGAGCTGTTTAGAACCTCACTAAATTGCTGAAGCTAGTTTTGAACTTGTCATCCTCCTGCCTCAGTTTCCCAAACCCCTGGGATTGCAGGCATGAGCCACCAGGCCCAGCTCCAGAGTACCCTTGGCCAAATAGCTACAGGAAACATTCCATTGTATGCCTTCTTTCTTGAAGGTTTATATTAACGTGAAGTGCTCTGGGAAGTCCTGTGTATTATCTCTTTGCTATATAATAAATCATCCCCCAATTCAGTAGATTAACACAACTAACATTAACTCCCACAGTTTCTGCAGGTCAGGAATTAGGAGCAGTTTAGCCAAGTGGTCCTGGCTCAGTGAGCTTGCGGTCATGCCAGGAATGTGGATTTCTAAGATTTGACTGGGTCTGGGGTCCTATTCCAAGCCCAGTCACGTGGCAGTTGGCAAGGGGTCTCAGGTCCTCTCCATGCTGGCTTCTCTGTCAAACCTCCCATGACAAAGCTTCACCAGAGCAAGTGATCAAAGGAGACACCAAGAGTGGAGTCTCTGTCTTCTATATTCGAATTTCAGAGGAGCACACCAAAGCTTCTGCTGTAGTCACTATCACACAAACCATCCCCATTTCAACACAGGGAAGCCTCCTACACAGGCTGTGGGTGGCACGAGGCAGGGATTGGGTCACCACATCCTCCCATATAGACATCATTTAACTTTGCTTCCCAAAGTTATTGCCAATAGACTATCCCTGCCTTTGTGCATCCTGTCCCTGCCTTTATGAATCCTGTCCCCATGCCTCTAAACTGACCACAGGTGGTTACTCCAGGGTACCCCCCACTAAGGCCCTGTCCTAGAGATGACTGTCTCATTGGCATCTTTTAGAGGCTCCATTCCTGGTGTAGGGTCAAGATGGGAGGCTCCTAAACTCACAGTCAGGGGTGTCAGAGACCAGGAAGCAGAAGAGGAGTTTTCAGACACTCTGGAGAGAGGGTACGTGAATTCAGATCCTACCCCTGCCACTTAGAGTCAGTGACTTCTGAACTTCTCAGTGTTCTTCCATGCCATCATCTGTAAGATGGGAAAAAAATTGTTCCCATCTTGGCGCAGATTGGGAGAATTAGGCACCCTGTGCAGCACCTTGCTCAGCAGTAGCTGTCACTCACACTGCAAGGGCTGGGGAGGGAGGCTGGGAACCCTCACACAACACCATGAGGAACTGGGCTGATATCGAGGAGGCTGTGGGGAAAATGGGCTGGTTTCTAAATGGACCAAAGAAGTGATCAGAGCTGGACTTTCTTAAAGATCCTTTTCAAACTGGGCATGGTGGCATACACCTGTGATCCCAGCGGCTCAGAAGGCTAAGGCAGGAGGATCGAGAGTTCAAAGCCAGCCTCAGCAATTTAGCAAGGCCTTAAGCAACTGGGTGAGAACTTGTCTCAAAATAAAATATAAAAAGGGCTGGGGATGTGGCTCAGTGGTAAACACCCCTGGGTTCAATCCCCAGTACCAAAAAAAAAAAAGGTCATTTTCAAGGGACTTAAAGGCAGACTTGCAGGTAGGAACAGGTTCTAGCCCTGAACCCATCCTGGCTCCCAGAGCATGTCACCCGCCAGTGGCAGGCTCCTTGCCCGTAGAGGCTGCAGCCAGCCACCCCATAATGCCTGAGAATGGAAGCAATGATCACAATCCTTCATCATCGGGGAGCAAGAGGCACAGGGAGTGACATCCCCATTTGGTAGACAGGGAAAGTGAGACCAAGGACTTCCCTGAAGTCCCTGACTGGCCTCCGGGTGGCTGCCTTTCTTCCTGGGGCTCTGAGAGTTCAGTTTCAACCAGATGGGGATGCTGAGTCCCAGGAGCTGGCTGTGGCTGAGTTCTAGGCAGTGACAGGAGCTGCTGTCTTCCCCCCCATCCCCCAGCAGGGTGCTGGGCAGTGACTGTGGTTTCCCCAGACCACCCAGGGATCTGGTGACTCAGGCTCCAATGGAGACACTTTCTAAATAAGGTCCCAGGTCCCTGGAGAGTGTGGTGGGAGCTGGGTTCCTGCAGGCTCTAGGAAGCAAAGTAGGTGGGACTTATGTCCCCAAATCCAAGCTCAGGCTGGGTGGTACCCCAGGGGGATTCCAGCAACTGACTAGGTTATTGAAGAAGGGTTAACCCGTCCCTTGTCCTCTTTGTTGCCAATCCATGCCCCACCCCCATCTCCAGCCTCTCCCCTGCCTTAGTCTCTGGGTATATCTGTGCTGGGAGGGGAGGGTTGGTTGATCTAGAAATGAGAGGCCAATGGGAAAGAGAGGGGCTCCTGGTGATTTTATGCTCATATGTCAGGTGAACATAGGCCCAGAAAGGGAGTAAGAGTGGCTGGAGGTCACACAGCATTCTGGGGACTTTTTTTTTTTAATATGTTTTAGTTGTAGAGCTGGGGAAATAGCTCAGTTAGTAGAGTGCTCGCCTCACAAGCACAAGGCTCCATCCCTAGCACCACAAAAACAAACCAAAAAATTTAGTTGAAGATGGACACAATGCCTTTATTTATTTATTTATTTATTCCTTCCTTCCTTCCTTCCTTCATTCATTCATATGTGGTGCCCAGGATCAAACCCTGCTCCTCTGACACGCTAGGCAAGCGCTCTACCACTGAGCCACAGCCCCAGCTCTTGTTCTGGGGACTTCCTAGTGTTTCACACACCATCCCCCTCCCTACTGCGATCCCACACCTGGCAAGGGGCTTTAAAGCTGCAGCTGTCCCCAGCCTCTGTTGCCTAGTTCTAATCCAGCCCCTGCCACTTACCCGCTGTGTGGCCTTGGGCAAGTTACTCTAGGGTGTCTCATCTCCTTACCTGTCAAAGTGAATACTGACAGCAAGATCCCCTGCAGGCTGGTGGGCTAGGAGGGTTCTGGGAATTCAGGCCCCCACCTGCTCAGAACTGGCTGGCACGGAGCACTAAGCCAGTGTGTACTACTATTATTTGGGGGCCTGAATCAGGTGAGAAGAGCTTTGGTTTGGGGGCCTAGCAAGTGTGAGGACTCAGATCCAGACCCCTTACCTTGATAATGACTTGGGCCCTTCCCTGGCCTGTGGGGACCCATTTCCTCAGCAGGAAAGTAGACCCAGGGACTCACCAGGGCCCCTCCCTGGCAGCTCCTGCCTCCCTGGGATCCATTCTCTGCCCAGAGTGACAGTCTCGCCTGAAGCTGGCAATGCCCCTCTCCACCCAGCTGGGGTGACTCCATGTTCCTGAGGGTGTAGTACTAGCTCTTAGGTAGCCCACGAGGCCCTTTGGAAATCTGGTGCTGCACCATCTCTACCTGGGGCCCCTTCAAACTCCACACTCCAGCTCCCTCCCTCTCTCCCAGGTCTCAGCTCCTCTCCTCTCAGTCCCTCATCCTACCCTATCTAGGCTCATCCAGTGACCCCTCATGTCCCAATGCCGGACACAGAGGAGGGACTCTCTGGATGTTTGTGGAACGAAGGGGTCACCGAGGTAATGGCAGTGGGAGTGTATTATAAACTCTGAAGGACCAAACAGGCGCTCAGAGGGGGTGTGTTTATTAGTATCATGTGTCTCCATGACAATCCCCAGCTGGTTTCTCCCTACAGGCCCCTAAGAATGCTTACCCCTACACCAGGTTCTGGGGGCTCCAAACCTGCAGCCTTATTCAGAATTCCTGGGGTGTGGGGAGGTCCATTGGATGACTTAGAACACAGACTCAGGGAACATCAGAGCTGGGAGAACCCTCAAAGTACATCTAGTTCTACCAAGTATCACAGAATTGAGGCCCGGAGAGGGCAGGACACTCACCAGGGTCACAGAGCAAGGCAGCAAGGCCGTGACAGAGAGAAGCCAAGCCTTCCAGAGCCAGCCTCTTAGTGCTGCTGCAGAGGCTTCAGTGAAGACCACATAGCCTGGGGAGAGAGGGTGAAAGGTAAGACGGGCAGGAGGGCAGCTTAGGAATTTTGGTTTAATTGTGGTAAAATATATGTAATATAAAATTTGCCATTGGAACCACTTTTAAGGGAAGAATTCAGTGGTATGGAGTACATTTGCATCATTGTGCAAGCATCACAACACCCGTCTCCAGAATGTTTTTCATCTTTCCTACGCTTTTAAAATATTATTATAAAAAATGCCTAACATAAAAGTTGCCATTTTAGCCATGTTGAAGTGCACAGTTCTGGGG